CCCCAAAACCCCAAAACCCCAAAACCCCAAAACCCCAACATGATATAATATTATTGAAATCTAAAATAAGTATGAGCTGATCTATTTCATCAGAGATGTGGGAGTACCAAGGGCAAGGCTGAACTTTCTATAAGATATACCTTGGAATCATCTTGTTTCTATCGGTTATTACTATGAGCATGATTGGATGGTGGACAATCAAGTTTATCAGGATCTTTGGATGCAAATAAAAAACTCCAATTCCTGTTTCTTGTCACTGTCTTTGGGTCAACAATTGCTCGTAATGTGAGTTTTAGTTTGGAATTTTACTGGAGAGTTGGCCAATGAAGCATTCCAATAAGTTTATGAAATGAAGCTGCTGTATATTGGCTTTCTTCGACCTTATTTTCAGCTGCTGTAATTATACACATATTCAGTTTTCTTTATCAATTATTACGTTTGAAAAAGTTCAGGGAAGGAGAACGTCAAAATCAAAAACTTCATCATGCTACATTTGCTGGTTTTATAATGCTTATATTATTTACTTACCTCGGATTCGTTATTACAGCATGAGTAGCATCTAGAGAAGAACGCTGGATATTCAGGATATTCAAGATCCTTTATTCCTCCACTTTCCTCTTAATTGCAGTGACTTATATCCTAGTAGCCGTATATTTCTATAAAAAAGTTAAAGGGATGTTTCTAGAGAAGGCAAAGGACTTAAAGAAAAGGATAATGTTCAGTTCTGTCGTAATTTCTTTTAGCTTCTTTCTCAGAGCATGTCTAAACATAGGAATGTACTTACTTGAATTCAATTCCAGGTTTAACAGACATTGGCTCACGAATAATAAATTTTGGTTCCCACTGGTTCTAACATTCTACTTTATCCTTTCTGAGATTTTACCGACCTTGTATATCTGAATGAGCATTAAAAATATTGAGAAGAAGATTAATGAACAGGGGCACGAGTCAGAATGTTCAAATAACAACCTTGGGTTCACTGGAATAAGCTCTCTCAGAGAAAGTCTAGATGAGTCACGAGCTCCACGCTCAACTCTAATGTCAACAGAGCAAGTGATTAATAATTAATGTATTATTTTAAATCTTGGATAATTCAATAAGCTTGACCTATCCCGGGGTTTTGGGGTTTTGGGGTTTTGGGGTTTTGGGG